GAGACTTTAACACTCCACTGTCAATATTAGACAGATCAATGAGACAGAAAATTAACAAGGATATCCAGGACTTGAACTCAGATCTGGACCAAGCAGATCTAATAGACATTTACAGAACTCTCCACCACAAATACACAGAATATACATTCTTCTCAGCACCACATCACACTTATTCTAAAATTGACCACACAATTAGAAGGAAATCACTTCTCAGCAAGTGCAAAAAAATGAAAATCACAACAACCAGTCTCAGACCACAGGGCAATCAAATTACAACTCAGGACTCAAAAACTCATGCAAAACAAAACTTCATGGAAACTGAACAACCTCCTCCTGAATGACTACTGTATAAATAATGAAATGAAGGCAGAAATAAAGATGTTCTTCAAAACCAATCAGAACGAAGACACAAGGTACCAGAATCTCTGGGACACATTTAAAGCAGTGTCTAGAGGAAAACTTATAGCAATAAATGCCCACATGAGAAGCAAGGAGACATCTAAAATTGACACCCTATCATTAAAATTAAGAGACTAGAAGAACAAGATCAAACAAATTCAAAAGCTAGCAGAAGACAAGAAATAACTAAATCAGAGCAGAACTGAAGGAGATAGAGACACAAAAAACCCTTCAGCAAAATCAATAAATCGAGGAACTGGTTTTTTGAAAAGATCAACAAAATAGATAGATGACTAGCCAGACTAAAAAAGAATAGAGAGAAGAATCAAACGGATGTAATGAAAGATGATAAAGGAGATATCACCACTGATTCCACAGAAATGCAAACTACCATCAGAGATTACTACAAACAACATCTTGCACATAAACCAGTTAATCTAGAAGAAATGGATAAATTACTGGACATTTACACCCTCCCAAGACCAAACCAGGAAGACTTTGAATCCCTGAATAGGCTAATAACAAGGTCTGAAGTAGAGGTAGCAACAAATAGCATACCAACCAAAAAAAGTCCAGGTCAAAATGGGTTCACAGCCAAATTCTACCAGACGTACAAAGAGGAACTGGTACCATTCCTTCTGAAACTGTTCCAAACAATACACAAAGAGGAAATACTTCATAACTCATTTTATGAGACCGTCATTCTGATACCAAAACCTGGCAGAGACACAACTAAAAAAGAAAATTCCAGGCCAATATCCATGATGAACATGAATGCAAAAACCCTCAATATAATACTGGCAAACCACATGCAACAGCACATCAAAAGGATTATCCATCACGATCAAGTAGGCTTTATCCTGGAGATGCAAGGCTGGTTCAACATACGCAAATCTATAAACATAATGCATCACCTAAAGAGAATCAAAGACAAAAACCACATAATTATCTCAATAGATGCAGAGAAGGCCTTCGACAAAATTCAACAGCCTTTATGCTAAAAACTTTCAATAAACTAGGTATCAATGAGACCTAGTTTAATAAAAATAATAAAAGCTATCTATGACAACCTCACAACAAATATCATACTGAATGGGCAAAAACTGGAAGCATTCCCTTTGAAATCTGGTACTAGACAAGGGTGCCCATTCTCACCATTCCTATTCAACATAGTGTTGGAATTTCTAGCCAGAGCAATCAGGTAAGAAAAAGAAATAAAGGGTATTCAATTAGGATAAGAGAAAGTCAAATTGTCTCTACTTGCAGACAACATGATTGTATATTTAGAAGACCTCATCATCTCAGCCCAAAATCTCCTGAAACTGATAAGCAACTTCAGCAGGGTGTCAGGATACAAAATCAATGTGTAAAAATCACAAGCATTCCAATACACCAATAACAGACTGAAAGAGAGCCAAATCATGAGTAAACTCCTATTCACAATTGCTACAAAGAGAATAAAATATCTAAGAATACAACTAAAAACGGATGTGAAGGACCTTTTCAAAGAGAACTACAAACCACTTCTCAAGGAAATAAGAGAGGACACAAACAGATGGGAAAATATTCCATGCTTATGGAATAGAATATTTTCACTATCCTGAAAATGGCCATATTGCCGAAAGTAATTTATAGATTCAACACTATACCCATCAAGCTACCATCGACCTTCTTCACAGAGCTGGAAAAAAAAACACCTTAAAATTCATATGGAACCAATGGAGAGCCCACATATCCAGGACAATCCTAAGCAAAAGGAACAAACCTGGAGGCATCATGCTACCTGACTTCAAAGTATACTGTAAGGTACAATAATCAAAACAGCATGGTACTGGTACCAAAACAGAGATATAGACCAATAGAATAAAACAGAGGCCTCGGAGATAACACCATATATCTACAATCATCTAATCTTTTACAAACCTGACAAAAACAAGCAATAGGGAAAGGATTCCCTGTTTAATAAATGGTGTAGGGAGGTTGGGAAGGGATAACATGGGGAGAAATGCCAGATATAGGTGACGGTGGGATTGAGGCAGCAAACCACCATGGCATGTGTATACTTACATAACAATCCTGCAAGATCTGCAGATGTACCCCAGAACTATAATTTAAAAAAGGATATACATGTATATGTATACATACATACATGTATATAGAGAGGATATATATGTATGCATATAATGTATATACATATGAATATGGATATGTACTATTTCCTCTCTCTCCTGGAATCATCTCCAGATCAGTAATGTCCTGAACATCTCATCTTTTGTACAAATACTTACAACACATAGATAACTTCTAAACTACTTCTCTTTCTACATTACCTATCATTGGTATGCAGTTTCTCAAACTGCAACTGCATCCAGGTCTTTCATATTTCTTTGCTTTGTATACTGTATGTTCTTCTCCCCTACCCTTTTTTTTTCAATTCTATGATAAGTCTAGGTCATCTTTATGAGATCTTGTCTAATAAACTCCTTTGTGAAGTCTTCTTTGATCACCCTGATATATCTCATACTCCTCAGAACACTTTGCATATACCTACATTAAATTCATATTACAGCTGAGCACAGTTGCTCATGCCTGTAATCCCAGCACTTTGGGAGGGAGAGGTGGGTGGATCACCTGATGTCGGGATTGTGAGACCAGCCTGACCAACACAGACAAACCCTGCCTCTACTAAAAATAAAAAAGTTAGCTAGGCATGGTGGTGCATGCCTATAATCCCAGCTACTCTGGAGGCTGAGGCAGGAGAATTGCTTGAACCCGGGAGGTGGAGGTTGCAGCGAGCTGAGATCGTGTCATGCACTCCAGCCTGGGCAAGAAGAGCAAAACTCCATCTCCAAAAAAATAAAATAATAAAATAAAAATAAAAAAATCTTAAAGATGTTGCGATAGATAACTTTCTGTATCAATTTGGCTGAGATGTGCTGCTCAGATATTTGCTCAAATGTTATTCTGAAAGTTAATCATGTTAAATGTAAGATTTTCATTTGCGTCAGTGGACTTTGCATAAAGCAGATTGCCTTCCATAATGTAAACAGACTTAACCCAATCAGTTGAAGGCCTGACTAGAACAAATGATTGACCTCCCCTGAGTAACAGCAAGAGGGAATTCTGCCAACAAACTGCTTTTGGACTTTATCTGGAACATCAATTCATTCTTAGGTCTCCAGGCTGCTAGCCCAGCCTGCAGATTTTAGACTTGCCAGACTTCACAATCAATGTGAGCCAATTTTTAAAATTTCTTAAAATAAATCTCTCTCTCTCATACATATGTGTGTGTGTGCGCACATGCACACATTTTCTATTAGTCTTGTGTCTCTAGAGAGCTCTAATTAATGCTTCCACATTTTTTCATTATTTTATTAATAAACATGTTTACCTGATGATAAGAGGGTTAGCACTATCAAATCCTATACAACGTTTAATTTTTTATTAGTTTGGACCATAGCTCCAAGCTGTTGTGGTGGGACTTGTATCTTTTCTATTGATAATAACTGACAGACGAAGCTGGCATTATGAGGCCTGACACATAATGTTTATGCCCGTCCTCTGGAACATGGGTGGGACCCAGGACTTGCTCCTAACCAACTGAATACAGAAAAGGTGATAGGATGTGTGTGATTATGTGTATGTGATTATGTTACATAAGCCCATAGTGCCCATCTTTTGGCCTCTCTCTGTCCCATGCTTGTCTGTGAGAAAGCAAATGGCTACATTGGGGAATCTCACATGGTAAAGAACTACCGGTATCCTCTAGGAGGTAAAGGCTGCCCCAGTCAACATCCAGCAAGAAAACTGAACCTCTCAGTTCTATAATTACCTGGAACTAAGTGCTGCTAACAACCACCTAAGAGAGGAAGCAGATTTCTACCCAGTTGAACCTCCAGATGAGAATGCAGTACTGGCTGACAATTTGCAGCATGGCAGAGGGCCCAGATAAATAAAGCATGCCTGCACTCCAGATCCAAAGAAACTGAGAGATAATTAATATATGTCATTTTAAGCTGCTAAATTTGTGATAATATTATTGTACAGCAATAAATAATTAATCAAATGACATCTTTTTGTTATATAACTTCTATAAGAAAGATTATATAACTGAAAACATGACATATTTACTTCACTTTACATAATTCAAGTCATGTACATTTCTCAGTGGCTTTAACTTATATTCCTGGGAGATCCTTAAATCCTGGATTTCCTCCATGGCCCTTTTTCTAATGTATCTAAATCATTATACCTAAAAAATAAGATAAGTTGGAGGAAGAGGACAAGGGGGAGGAGGAACAGGAGTGTTAGGTGCTTTGTGTCCTGTGCCAATCTCTATCATGCTACTTGTTAGTTTGTGCTGAGTTTATCAGTTCCTAAGTTTTTCCAATAGAATATAACGTGGTGGAGACCAGATAAGATACTTTAGCTATGTTTTTATCCTGAATTACCAATAATACAGTAGGTTTTTGTTTAATGCATGTAAACTAAATGGACATATTTAATTTAGTCGAAAACGTTCCGTGAAGAATAATTTGCTTACACTTAATGCAGGGAACTAAAATATTTCAAACAGAATAATGGAATTTTACCAAGAAGAGTTTGGACATTTGCTCTCCTTTTTATTGTCATGGCAACAATGTACTTTTTAGGGTATCCTTATAATATCCACCAGTTTTCCACTTTGGTGTCTTTAAAACTAGGAAAAAAGCACACTGATCATCTGTAAAGAAAAGGAAATAAATAAGGTCAGTGTTAAATGTAATTTAAAATAATACATGCAATTATTTTTACTGGGTGTTATTACATCTACAAATAGTAAATGCTAAATAGTATATATAGTGTAATTAATCACATTAGTCTTAAAACACATGAAACAATTAATAAAATCTCATGTTATTAACCACTCAACATGATGATTTTGAGAGTTTGTGACTTTATTTCCATAGGAAACCAAAGCAACTTAGCTACTGGACTTTCTGATAGTATCACAAACCTCAGGTTATACGTAGATCTCAAGTACCCTTTTCATAATGTCATGCCTTACTTATTGTGCCAGATCCTTATGGCTGTTCTCTTCAGAAGGATGTGTTCACAAAAACTATTTTAATTAATGTTAATATGTTTATTACATCTAATTTGCTGTGTAACTGATTTAAAAGGACATTTCCCATTTTAATAACAGACATAAAATCAGGAAGAAGTAAACTTAGTATAAGTAATAAAAAGGCTTGTCATTTATTTCAAAATGAGAAAGAAACAGAACTTTGCACATGTAGAGTGAAGGAAGGAGATGTAGGTTTGTTAAGTAAGTGTAAGTACATATACATGTGCTCATATGTATATATTATATGTATATACACACAGACACACATGCACACACATATAAGTTGCGTATACATACACATATAAGTATACACCTATATAAGTGCAATATATGACATATATACACACAAAATAATAAACATGTAAATTAGTAGTATGAGACTAATTAAGCATAATCCACATAATAATTATCCACCTTGAGCCAGGCATGGTGGCTCATGCCTGTAATCCCAGCACTTTGGGAGGCTGAGGTGCGTGGATCACTTGAGGTCAGGAGTTTGCGACCAGCCTGACCAACGTGGTGAAACCCCATCTCTACTAAAAGTAAGAAATTAACTGGGCATGGTGGCGGATGTCTGTAATCCCAGCTACTTGGGAGGCTGAGCCAGGAGAACTGATTGAACCCAGGATGCAGGGGTTGCAGTGAGCTGAGATCGCTCCAGCCTGGGTGACAAGAGCAAGACTCCACCTCAAAGAAAAAAAAAAATTATCCACCGTGTTCACAGAGCGAATATTTTTTTTCTTCTAGTTTGGTACATAAAAAAAGAGAGAAGTTATTATATATTTATCTTGTTGGTATTATAATGACGAATATGTCCTTTCAATAACTTTGTCTCAGATTTACTACCTAAAACACATTGGGGAGAGAGGAGGCAGTTTATGCTAAAAAGCCCAAAGATTATGAAGCCAGGGATAGTGCATTTGACCTTGTGTAGGTTTCACAATTGCTTCATTATATAGAGTATGAATGATGATGATTGTTACCTTGTAGCATTAGTTATTTTAAGGATTAATTGAAAAAATTGTTTATATAGTGATCAAAGGATGCTATTCCTTCTGAATTTGAGATTAAGGAACAAAGATATTAAGAGTTATTTGAGAGTAAATCATAATCTTTGATATCTTTGTGGTTTTACTTTAATGCCAATTTTAATATAGATGGAAAACAGAGATGACTACGTGATGTGATTTTAAAACTGCCAAAAATTCTTATCCGTGCTTTGCAAAAATAGCAATTATAATATGTGAAATTATCATATTACTTAATTTCTTGGTTTCAAGACCATGTAGACACCAATAAACTGATAATTATTTACATTTGTTCATGCTTTAAAATTTACCAGATGTTTTGGCATATATTATTTACTTTAAGCTTTATTCAAATCTATGACTTAGACGTATTAAAGGTAATTATTTCATACTTGTAAGCCTGGGCCACATCAGAACTGAGCTATGAACCCAATGCTTTTAACCCTAATGGGCATAAGCAGTGGTCTTTTCAGATAGCTATAGCTGACTGAAAATGATATCCAGAAAGATTTTCTTCCGTGAAGAATATAAGGCAAAATAAATCAGTTTCTATCATCAAAAATATACCTATGGTAAGTGGACACAAAGAAGACTGTGATGGAAACGTATCAAGAAAATTTCACATTATGTGGCCAAAGTCTAGAGGGAAATGTGAATTGAAGTGTTGATTATAACATATTATGTTATCATTAGATTTCCTAGAGCTTTGAGGAGACTGAAGGAGAAAAAGTAGCATTAAAAAGTGCCATTAAGGAACACTTAAAGATAGTTTGTGATCTAATCCTATTCCAAATTCATGTTTCTCTCGTCTGGCTTGCATTTTGTAATTTAATTATTAATTCCATCATTCATTCAATCAATATTTACTATGTATCAGAAACTGTTCTACGTATTTGGGATTCATTGGTAACCAAAATGATGAGTCCTACTCCCCATGAAAGTAAAACTGTAGTGGGAAATATTAAAAAAGCAGTGGATGCCCCATAAACCATGTGTTTTTCACTTATGACTCTTCTGTCTATACTACTTATCAATCTTTAATATTCTGTTTAATTCTCACATTTTTCAAAGTCTTCCTGAATCTTACAATCTCATCATGGCCTCATATCTTACATGCCTATATATGCCTCTACTATTACACCTAACATATTTCTTTACCTTTGCTAGCATTCTTAAGAACAGGATTGGGTCTGCTCGGTATGCATATCCGTTGCAATCCAAGACCTTACACACATGCATAAAATAGATTTGTTGAATGAAATAATAAACTTTATTTGCAAATGTATCCAAGACTTTACTTTTCAGCATATTCATCTGTTTTGCTGATTGAATTTTGGTAAATATTTCACTCAATTTTTTGGTATGTTAGCCTTCATTGATCAAATGCCTAGACATCTACCAAATTTCTACATCAGCCTGAAACCCTTTAGACTTATTCTTTCCTATTTGTAAAGACTCTTAAAATAAACAAAGACATATATAAAACTATCATGTTAAGAGAAACACAAGAAACCATGATATTCACAATTAACGTAAGTAGCACCAAATAACTAGTCTATCTATACCTTTCAATTCCCTGTGCCACGACAGTAAGACAACTGTTTGCGAATTAAATATACTTACATATATGTACATACGCTTTATATACACACATGCAAATTATATATACATTCAGATGGATACACACACAGAGAACTAATGACTGACATTTTTACTACCATTTTCAAAAACTTTAAGCAGAACATTAGCTCAAAGGTAATAAAGAACAAATTTCAAACCCATTAGGGAGAAAAATTACCTATGGAACTGGAGTAGATCTGATATATCCAACAAAATTGGGGATAGCAACTTGAATTATGATCCGGAAGACTGACAGAGTGATTGATAGACTTCTGTAAACCCATGGGGCTCGGGGAGGATTTCTTTCCTCTCTGTTTGGAGTCACAGCAACCGGCATGGTTCTTTAATCTGCAGCTGAAGCCTGTGAGAATATATAATGAATTAACATAGACTTTCTTTCCTTTTCTGTCAATTTTATGATAATAGGAAAAGTACAGTGAGACATATACATTAGACAGCCAACTTGTATTTAGTAATTATTCTTTTCATAATTGTTATTTGTTTACTTATTTGCTATTACTTCTCATCAGCTTAGTGAAATTTCTTTTATTATGCTAATGAGCACAATTTAAATAATTGCTCAGGGAACCTGTTATTCTTTACCCTTCTCTTCATAGTTCTTGTTTTATGAACAAATAGTCCTTTCCTCTTACTAACAGCATACCTGGATTGACTTTCCTGTTCTATGACTTACCAGTTGGGTGACCTTGGCCTAGTTATTTACCTCTCTGCCTTTTCTCATTTGTGAAATAAATACCTCCCCGTATTGTTATGAAGATGGATTAATACTGCATGCCAAGAAGCAGAAACTTTCTAGTCGCCATTAAGTGTCAGTTTTTTCCCAGTCCATGAGTATAGCTCTTTAAGTGACTGTGTTCTCATATTATTTATTTTATTGTAACAACAAGCGAACAGGAAAACAAAGCTTATATTTGAATCTTAATTTTACACATGAAGAAATATAGTTACTAGCACAGGCTCACTTAGCTAGAAGGACCTAGAGACGATAATTTAGATTATAACCTGAGTAATCTGGCCTATATTCATAGAATTTTAGACTAACACAGAGGAGTAGGTAAAAAAAAAAATAAGTTTTGGTGCTTGTTACGTGCCAGGTCTGTGCCAAGTACTTAATTTTCATTATTTCATATAATCTCCACTGCAGTCCTGAAAGGTGGATACTTACTATTTTAAGAGTTACTTTAGGCTCATGAAGTTATATAGTTTCCTTTGCTCCACCACCCAATAAGTAGTGAATTTCAGCTTAAACTCCAGGCAATAATGACTTTAAAATCTGTAATCTTTCTATATTATCATGCTGCCTTCCATGTTTGGAGGACTCTTTCTTTAGGATAATTTATGCTGATTTTCTCCCATTAGACTAAGTTTGGTCTAAGGAAATTAAGTAGCTTATTCAAGGCAGAGACAAAACTTGTCTTCTTGAACTTTTAGTTTCATATATGTTCATTAGTTATTTTTAACCTTTGACTTATTGTTTTCTTATAATGTCATTTACATATTTTAACAATTTTTCTGTGTCTGTCAATCACTACTTATTTTTAAGTCTACATGTCTTTAGATCAGACTTTATGTCAAGAAGAGATCACTGGGTTAACATGCAACTTGGGGTCTTCATCTCCTTATATTTGGCTTATATTGTGAAGGATGCTAGTGAATGATTTTAAAGTACTCTCCCAAGTAGTAAGTGACAAAAGTGATCATAGTTGCCTATGTCTAGCAATGGCCTTAACAGTACCATGCTACTTAAAACTATACATATAAAGAAATATGATTATTATTTAAAAATATCTATAAAATTTGTTCTTTTATGAGAATCTACATTTGTCACAGTCCATATATTTTTAGTTGTCACAACAAAAGCATCCCTTTTGTTTTCCTTTTATGCTACTTTTTAAAGTTTGATAAAATCTTCACCTTTTCAGATAATTTATTCTTTGGACTGACTGCCTTAGGAATTCTGTAGTTCTTCAAAATGATAGCCAGAACGTTTTAAATATGTCCCTCTTCTCAGATGTATGAAGCATAGTTATCATAATGGCTGACTTTTAACACAGATGATATCATATGGACATCATAATGGAACCGAGGATTCTTAGTTCTGTCAAATATAAAAGAGATGTTAGAAAGTTCACAATTTGTAGGAGGCCCAAATGGATAAAACCAAATACACTAAAAACCTTAGAACTGAGAATAGGATGTCTTCAAACAATGGAAGAACTGTCTGCTGGTGAGTGCGGAAACTACCAGCACTGCTAACTGTACATAGGCAGCCACACAGGCTGACCATTCCTGCCATAAAGGTGATTCTTACAGCATGCTTACCCCCTTTCTACCATTCAGTTTGAAGATCTGTAACTTATCCTCCCATAAACTCTACTAGATAAAGTTAGGGATCTCACTCAACGTTACATATAAAGTTAATGATAAAATGAAACCCAAATGGTGAGGACTCAGTAAATGCTTCCCTCTGTCTTCTATAAATATTAGTACAGTAAATTTTTCAGTAGCATGCATGTCAACATTTCAATACACAGAGAGTCAGGACAAGTATTGCTATGTAGAATAGGGTCCTGTTCCCCGCATGTGTTAAATCCATGCTGACAAAATCTATGTATAGCCACTGTATTCATACACAGGTATTACAAGTATTAATGTAAAAATCTATATATTATTACATGTCAGTGCTATGATTACTGCTTTCAACATATATTTAAGTTTATTCTAAGTAATTAGTATTTTAATTTAATATTAAATATAATTTAATAAATTATTTTTTATCATGAATTAATTTGGGTAATCTGTTTTATTTTCAAATATGATCTTTAATTCACTTATTTGAACAAAGGTTCATTTATGTCAAAACTTTTTATTTATGCAGCTACTTTCAAGTATCAAATTAATTTCACATTTTTCCAGTTGATCTTTACAATATACCAATAGAAAGGAAAGTTAGTATTAGTCTTAGTATTTCCGTACAAAAAAGGAGAAGGAGATTGAAATTAGTATGAACAAATGTGTGTGCTGGTTCCAAGGTAGGAAACAGTTATTTTTGCAACAAAATTAATTTGCCAAATATTTATGTTCAGGTAATTCCACAAGGAATTTTTGTGTATAAACATTTATGATTAATTACAATAGCATTGAGTGTGAGTCAGACAGGTGAATTTTGGATCTTTCCAGAGGCATTTTTCTAAATGGATATGCAGTATTATTACTGTGGAAATTAGCAATAATTTTTTTTTTCCTGTAGCATCAGTCTTCCTCTTTCAGTTTTTTTTTTTAATGCTCTTAAGATAACACAGCATCCCTCTTGAGTAAGGATGCAGTCACTGCATATTCCGTGGAGAAGATGTCAACTGTGGACAAATGAAAACTACTGCTGTGTTTTACCTGGCTTCTTAGAGATAAGCACTCTAAGGTCAAGATAAATTTTTATGGTCCTGTACTCTTTATTAATAGTTTTAAATTATGATAAGAGGTCAAAACACAAGGGTCCTTCTAATTTATTTCATAATGATTTGATGTGTATATGTCTGTGAATATATGTGCACATGTATTATGTCTCAGAGGAAAAAGGCAAAAATATGTATAATGTATAATGAATTTAGAGACAAGAAATGTAAGAGGAGACATGATGCTGACAGCCAGAGAAGTATTGCAGCATGTGTGTGGCTCTACTGAAGGCTGTCCATCAGTTTGAAAAGGAAAAATCCGTGAAACTATTTTGTTCATGGCCTTAAACAAATCTGCAACATAAGATTAATTTTGATTTGCATAAAGTTCCCATTACTCACACAATTACTGATTATTTTGTCCTCTAAAGTTCTACATGTCCTTTTAAGGAGCATATTGGCTTGTTTGTCTGCAAACATTTAACTAATAGAATATAGTTTGTCTCACCCTAATATATTTCATGCCATTTTTATGCTACTGTTAACATTATTAAATTTATAATTTTGTTTTCATGCTTGGGCTACATTATATTCCCAATCTTCAAAAATGAACTCATAACTAAAATGGGGTTTATTGAAGCATAAAAAGTGATGAAAAGAGTAACATAAATAGTACAACCCAAAATAACATCATAAACATAGAGTGAACTGGTCTCCAGTGGGGAAGATGAGATGTAAATCTGTGTATGCAGAGAAAAATAAACCTGCAAGTGTCATGATTTCACAGATGTGGCAGGAAAAGAGGAGTGCAAATAGGAAGTATATTTACGAATATCTAAAATTTGAATGATATTTGACTGAAAATTCATTTACCACTATTCCCCAGTTCATTTTCAGTTATAAAGCCTTGCCAAACAGGGGAATAAACATCTGTCAGAACTCTTACTTGAAGTATAAATTAGTGTGTTTCTTCTGCTTCCTTGTGAAGTCTCTGGCTTGAACTTTGAGCATTGTTCCCACTCCTGGATCACATAAGTGAGGGTAATCATCCACTTCAGAAACATGAACAAAAAAATCTAAGATCATTCTGCAAGGGAAGAAAACAAAAAGGATAGAAGGGAAGAAATGTTGAGGGAGATGAAAGAAGGTATGGGGAGGACAGAGAAGGAAAAGAGAAAGAAAGGAGGCAGGAAATTAGGGGCTCAGATGCCCCTGATTTTGTCTGAGGAGTACAGAGTAAGAAAAAAATACTCTGCTTTTAGGCACCAACAGCCTACATCAATATGGATGAACTATTGAGCTTTGTTTTTAGTTCCCATTGTGAAGCCCACTAACATATTAACTACAGCCCTTTAATTTGGACACCTGGTTGCAGTAAAACTGCTCTGAAACCTAGACATTCTGCTTTAGTTTAGCCCATGCCCCAGTGACTCATCATTTTACAATCTGGGGCACTTGTACACCCCTACATGAGAGGAGAAATTAGTTACCATGTCGTTCTGGTGGGGTGGTGGTGATAGTGGTGGTGGTGATGCTTTCTCATTGCAGGAATGGAGGTGAGGAGAACTGGAAAGAAACAGCTGGAAACTCTTTGACCTGGCGCATCTGTGAACACAGAATCTCTATCTTAAAGCCATTGATATTTTTTTTCTGGTACACTAGGAAAGGTTTTTTTTAAATAACATACATAAAATAATTTTCTTTAACTAAATTGATTAATTTTGTTTCCAGTGGTATAGAAGAGCAGAAAGTAGGAGAAGCACTCATACTTTCATTCTATAGCAAAAACCGATGAAAATATAAAACCAGCTGCAATATTAATAATAAACATTATACTTAAAGAGAAAGCAGAAGAAGCTATTGCTGAAAATATTTTATCAAATGATATTCTAATTTGATGTATCGTACTAATTACATATTAAAGAAAGAAGAATATTTACTGTGTTTTAGGTGCCTGCAGAAATTTTGCCTGAAAGTTGAATGAAATCAATATAGAAACTGAATAAACTCTCAGCTTATACACAGTGCACATATGAGAGCCTCACAGTTGATGACTTTTTGTTCTGCTTATCAATGAGGAATTTTTACTACAGAGAAGAGATTTTTAAAATTTATTTACCATTTATTTTGTGGTCTTGAAAAGTGGATTAGGAGGAAGGGAAGGGATTGTTGTGTGAATGGAGTTGACAGCACTTTAATACTAAATTACATTTTATTTTATTCATAGTGAATATTTTGTGGACATTCATATACTTTTTGATTTTAACTTTGTGTATCAAGAAATAGTTAAAATGTTGATTCAGTCCCATTGCAGCTACTAAAAATGTCACTTTCTAAAAAGTGGGCAGTGAGTTCAAAAATTTGCTTTGCCAAGTTAGTAGATCCCCTCTGTCTTGGGCAAGTATCTGTATGACTGTTTGAAATTCTTGTTGATATTAAGAGACTATATCCAATATTGTCCCTCAAGAACATTCTTATATTTCAAGTAATTTCTTCAGTAGCATAACAACTGTATAGATTATGTATGTTAAATTACTTAAGCCTATCTTTCAGGGATAAAATAAAATATTCACTGTTGAAGATTAGATAAGATTTCTTAAATACATTGTGTAGCAAATTCTTTACCTTTGATACTCAGATTAATTTCCTACCAGTTGGTTATACTTTCCAGTTGTTGAAGAAATATGTCAATGAGATAATGTGAAGTAAAGAAAAAATCACAATAAAACACATAGGAAAATATGCAAAAATTCTAGAAATTATTAATCCGGCACAAAATGGATTAGAAATTCACTTATTGTTTTTAAAAGCTACAGGATTTATACCTATTTCCCTCTTATCTTCAAAACTTATTTAGAAAATGAGTCAGGTGCAGTGGCTCATGCCTGTAATCCCAGCAATTTGGGAGCTCGAGGCTGGTGGATCATTTGAGGTCAGGAGTTCAAGACCAGTCTGGCCAACATGGAAGAAACCTGTCTACTACTAAAAAAGACAAAAATTAACCTAGCGTGCTGGCATGCACCTGTAGTCTCGGCTACCCGGAAGCTGAGGCAGGAGAATCACCTGAACCAGGGAGGCAGAGGTTACAGTGAGCTGAGGTTGCACCACTGCACTCTAGCCTGGTCAACAGAGTGAGACCCTGTTTAAAAAAAAAAGTTATTTAGAAAATGAATTATTTTTAAAATGGATAAGTCTCTTGGTTAATTTTATTTAGTCAATTATTGGGTATGGGGGTACTTTTAATGTCCAACCTTAAGACTGACATCGTATCCATTAATTTCCTGTCTTATTTAAGTCTGCACTTCTTAGAGCTGAATAGCAGGGTGGAGGAGCAATTGAATAACAGGAAATCCTTACTTCCAAATCCAGCCATTGTTGCAATAGGTGACAAAGTCATATGTAGCATCAATAACTGCCTTTGAACCAAACCCCAGGACTTCTGAATTCATACTGAGCGCTATTCAATTTGTTGCTGGTGTGATAGGAGATAAATAAAGAAACTGATTAAGAATTGTGGCATACAAGCACGTGATCAGTGGACTGATCTAACGGAATAATTTAGGCCAGTTTTGGTGTATAGTCTACTTTC